ACCCGGGGGGCCGGGGACCTGCACGGGGTCGGCGCCGGCCTGAAGGCGGAGAGGGGTCCTGCCTTCTCTTCAAGAACGCTTTTAAAATCGAGGTTCCACGTTGATCGAGTCATCAACTGCAGGCACCTAACCCCAAATCTCTGGAAAGGAGAAGTGCCACCCTTCTGCCCAACCATCCGGGGCCGCGGGCCATACACCCCCAGGGCAGACCTCAGGACCAGCTCCAGCTTTCCCCATCAGGCTCCTGGACATGCCCCTGCCAAGGGCACTGGAAATGTTACTTTATTACCTGGTAACTGTGCCAGCCAAAAACCTCAGCACTATTGTAAAAGCCCTCCTGATGAGGTGCGGTATGATGCACCAGATAGTTATGCGGTTGTGCAGAAGCAGCCCCTCTGGAAGATCACCCATGCTTGCTAAAATATGTGACAAACACAGAAGATCTGGAGACGTTCCTTACCCTGGAGCAAAGAGCGTATTCTGTCTGACAGCTTTCCAGTGCTTCACAGGGGAGTAAATCCTGAGGAAGGCTACAGCTTAAACTTCTTGATAAGCTACTGATTGGTGTTCAAAATCACATTGACATCAAGCCCAGCCTGAGAGAAAGAGCTATGCAAAATTTAAGTTCTCATTTTAAAACTAAGTCCCTCAGAAAGAGAACTGTGGCATTGCCTTTCAGCAGAATTAGAACTGCACGCTGCTATGCAAGACAAAGATGCTCACGATCAAAAGCTGTTTTCTCTCCCACTACCACTACTGGAATAAGCACGTCTATCTTATGTGTTGGCAGTGCCTTTAAAGGTGAATATTGGTAATTTCTTACTCATTGTTAAACATAGTCCACATCATATCTATCATCAATATCTTGCAGCAGGCAACTTTGTATTTATCAGAATATACCACTACATTTTTATTAAAATATACAAATGTGTTCATAAACATCAAAATGAAGACATTATTTCCTATATGACCAAATATGCAATTCTGCAAACAAAGCAGTCTAGCTCAGGAATACGCAAACCAGGATGCAGAGTCTCTTCCCGAGTTTCTCATAAAACTTCACAGTTGTCACTTGGGAAGAGCAATTACCAGTGCTCTGCTGTAAACGAGTTATACAGACCTGGGCTCCATTTCCAAATTGGATTAAGTATGACAAAGCAAGATGACAATCCTGTACAGGAGGATTATAGTTGCAAAGGAGAAGCCATTCCTGCATCACTGGAACTCTGACACGAGAACACAACTGGGGAGGTAGAAAATGTGTAACAGGGTAAGGAGTAATGCCTGCAGACCTGTTCCATCAAGGCTGTACAGACGGGCAGGTCTCCATATTAGAATCTTTCATGACCTTGTTTTTCTGTTTTGGGGCTTAAACATGAAACAGTACAAAATTACTGGGGTTTGCATGTGTGTGAAGTATTAGTTATTTCAAAATGATTTTACAGAAGCAAAAAGGTAGGAGGAACAAGGCTTTATTTTCACATACAAGTGGGGTTGGTTTGGTTTTTTTTAGTGTCCAGGGAAGTCTTTTGACAGCTGCATTTATCAAGCCAAACACTAAGCTGTGTGTTTTCTGCCACTGAATCTTCTGGAAGTCTGACAAACACATTAGGGATGATCTGAACACAGAACTGACAGTATTTCCAAGGAGTAATACCAAACCACGTGAGAGTAACACAGACAGGTGCTATTTTTGAACTATTGTTCAGAACTACAAGGCATTTACTGCAAGAGCACTCTCTTCAGCTTCTATGAGAAGCATTCTGGAATCCTCTACTGGTATTTCAGTAGAGACGTTGTTGCATGTGAACATCCATCCTCACCCGGAAGGAAACATAAGAAATACTTTTCTCCCTTCTCTTTTGCCGCTATCTTCAGTCTTCTGTTCCTCAGTACGGACACAGGTGTCAGCCCCAGCTCACACGTAGTCTGTTGCTACTCAGCTTTTTGAAACAGTCTGTAAGTTATTGCTATTTTTAGCTTCTTTAACTTTCTTTTTCTCCTTAATATTTTCCTTTGTAGTTTTCCTACAAGAAACACAGTGGAGACCAAGATGAGTATAGAGCAGTGACACAGACATGAGTCGTTTTACAACACGTTAGTACAACTGAACACAAATCCTTTGGTAACAACACTCCAAAGCAAGGGTAATGGTGTTCTTTATGACCACTTCTACTATCCCAAACTGCCACACACCAGTTTTCTGTGACTTACAACTTAAGATCTGCCTCTTGTATTAATACTCCATGCATTAAAATCAAAGCCAGCGCTTTGCCGGAAGAGAAGTAGATAGGTTCTGTCAAACGACAGTTAGTCTGAAGTCTGGCTTGAAGGCCAGTGGTTTAAACTCAGCTTGCTGTCCCCTGATATGTGGCACCATGCATGGCAAACTGATGGCATTAATCCACTTTCCAGTAGACAGATACTGACACCAAAATTTCACCATCGCTAAAATCATTATGACTGAGTCCATCCCAGTAAGTTATCGGTTACTTTGGAGGAAGCTTGCTGGGCCTTCTCTGGATAAATGCCACCTCTTACCTCCCCTTGAAAAAAAAAACTACTTACATTTTTCTTTTGGTCTTTTTTAAGAAGCACTGAGGAGTGGTACAAATGGATTCTCTTGTCAGTGGTTTCTTAATGAACTTCTTCTTTTGTTTGCTGAGAACGACATTTAGTGAAGAAGGATTAAATTACTTTAAAGGGCAAAAATTAATCTCCAAAGTAAACACAACAGATAATGCAAACCTTTACTGGTTGTTAGGGATTTATGGGTCTGAGTATATTTTCAGTGTTGTTTATTCCAAGATCAGTTCAGTCATGTTATCTTCAAGACATTCAAACTTCATTTTAATATATGCCTAATATAAATATATAAGGATTTCTAGGTTTAGAAACTATTAGAAGTTACGAAGAGGTGTGAAAAGGAGCACTAATTTAAAAAAATAAATGTATCTATATACATACGCCCCCTACACCAATTTTTCTAAAGGTAACTCAAAAGAGTAAAGGACTTTCTTTCATATATCAGAAGCCCAATTGATGAGTACGGGCTTAGGAAGTTTAAAGCAGATTTCAGGGAACTCAGAAAAACAGTTAACTCCAGGAAAACCGTAAGTCGAGAATTCTTTTTGTTTCCATTTTTGCCTGGGTAAAAAAATTGCCACCATCACCCTGTCTAAAATTCCTTTTGCAGCTAAACTGCAACTATAGTGCAGACAACTGGATCTTCTGCAACCCTTAAAAACCCAGCACCACTCATGCAGGCTTTTGAAACGGGAAACAAACAGGTGAGCTATGCAAACACACATACCTTTGCAGTTTGGGAAAGTGTTTTATGTAGTCTGGCACAGGACAGCCAGCTCGCTGAATCACATTGGCTATACTGGAAGGGAGAGGAGGGGAGAGATTAACTCTGGCAGTGAGTGTGTGGACAATAGATAAGCATCTTCTGTGGAAAACAGCAATCCCTAACAACGGGCTGTTTTCTTGTTGGGTTGTTTTTTTTTTAATTGGTAAAACAAGAAATAAAAGACACAAAAGCAAGTTTGAAGTAAGGTGAGGAAGAAACAAAAATACATATGAGGCTTAAATGAAACTAATGACTCCATTTGGATAGTTTAAACAAGTTGAAACTCTAGGTGAGTACAGTCTTCAAGGAGATGAAGAAAAAGCAGTAAGCCAAAACAGAGAATCATACCAAGTACTTTTGGACAGAAGCAAGTTAAAGAAGTGGATTAAAAACCCTAAAGCACAGCATGAGGTAGTCACACTTTCTACAGGACAAATGATTCAGGAAACCCAGAGCAAGAGCAAAGTCAGTTGTGAAGACCTGAACCTGCTCTTTAGTGAGGTTCAAGTCAGAATAACTGAGTTCCACTGAGCGGTGCTACCAAGCCATCACGTTCTCATTACTGGCAAAAAGACTGAAAAAAGTGAAAGGAGCTAGTTTCTCTCTTGCTGCATTAGTGAAAGGCTTCAAAAAGAAACCTTAAAATTGAAATGCTCCCAGTCTTTCCCAAATTGCGGTACCACCTTGCGGTTCCACTGTGTCAATACAGAATTCTCTCTAAGAGCTTTTTACAGCTGCGTGGGGTTTCCAGAGCATGGCAACAATGTGCTTACAAGGTGTGCAGTACCAGACACAACTGTGTTTTACACTATACAAAACCCAAAAAACCCCATTTTTGCTATATCCCGTTTCCAATTTACCTCCTTAATAAAGGTTTATCGTCTTCTGTAAAGAAAGTGACTGCTTTTCCTGTGTGCCCTGCTCTTCCAGTACGACCTGTCAAACACAAATTTTGCAGAGAGTAGAGACTTTAAATATCTCCCTTCATTCTATTCCTCTTCACAGTCCCAGCCTCCTGATGCGCATTCTTATACAAAGCATACTACCAAGCAGCCGATCCCCAAAGATTGTTTCTGTTGAATGAAAGCACAGGTGTCTGAAGCGTCTAAATATTTAAGGTTCCTAGAAGGCTGACAAAAAGTAATGCTGTTACTTTGAGCCCAGATATCAATTGGCTCAAGGAGGCTTTGTTTCAGGATTCTTGCTCATGCACAAGAGCATCTACATTAAAGATCTAGGACATGAGTAAAAGAACACAATTAGTGAACAATCACTCACCTATCCTGTGGATGTATTCCACTGCACTCGTTGGCAAATCGTAATTAATGACCATATTCACTCCTTTGAAGTCAATCCCTCGAGCTAGCAAGGCTGAGCAGATAAGCACCCAGATCTTCCCAGCTCTGAAACTGTGTACTACATTATCTCTCTAGGAAAAGAAAAAAAAGGGTACTTGGAAACAGCCTAATTAGCAATTTGAGAAAGGACGTGAACTTGTTTCCTGAAAGTTGTTGTGATGTTAACAAATAAAACTAAACAAAAACCTGCAGTAATTTACTGTCAGAGTTACCTGAAGTTACACTACAAAGAAAGGTAAAAGCAAGTGTGTTGTAAAGTGTTTCTTGAAAAGAAATTATATCCTCCTACCTGTTGCTGAGTTTTGTCTGCATGGATGACATCCACGTTGATGCCTTCGTAAATAAGTTCATGGAAAAGCTCTTTAGCCCTCTCAATAGACTGTACAAAAACAAGGACTGGAGGAGCAAAACCCTGCAAAAGAGTAAGCTTGTCTAAGGTTCAAGTCCTTTTCCTACCATTGGTGGTTGCAGTCACTAAGCTACTAAAGAGACTTTAACCAGCCCCAGTATTTTACATCTCAGAGGATGGGGCTTTGTTTGAGGTTGTTTTATTTTGACTAGCCAAATCTTTGGGAGTCACAACTAAGCAAGTTCATCTCCATTGCCTTAGGTGGAATGGTTCCAGACTTAAGCATCAGGCTGCATTCTAATCCACAGAAACAGAGCTGGTTTTTAACCCATGCAATGCAAAGAACCCACTCACGCTGCCAAGTAAAATTAAACAGATCGTTAATACAAACTGCTCCTAAGCAAGTCTCGAATGTATAACCAAGAATGGGGAACACCCTCAGTTTTCAAAGGTAGGGTACATACTCTTCTTCTTGTACAGCAGATTTGGACAATGGTTTAACACATGTCACGGAGAAGTCCTTGACCTAGGAAATTATGAGCCTGACAGAACACACAGCTCAGTTCAGTAGCAAGCAGAACGTACTCAGTCTCTCCAAAATACCTTTTTAATGAGCTCTCGCATTGCTGTTAGTTTTCCTGTCTCAGATCCAACAAACAACAGCTCTTGTTCTACTGTCTCCGCTGCAGAGTTTCTGAAATCAGAAATCCAACAGAAGCCTGCTGCTGTTACTGTTTACAAATGCATATACATACACACACATATACATATACATATAAAAACCATAAAATACTACCTGGTGAATGAGAAATACTGCGTGACAAACTTACTTCACCAGTACACACTCCTAAGATTAATGTCTATTTGATGATAAAGTAATGGGCAAAGGAAAACAGTGCTTTTCCCAATATGTGAGAAAGATCTGTATGTGCCTACACAATTTTTTCTGCAGGCAACCAACCTGCAGTACTAAGACTAACAACAGACATATAAACTCAAGCAGACTGATGATGTAAAGAAAGCAAGTAATTTGCCCAGGAAAGGGAAAAAAAACCCAACCCAAAACACAAGAGAGTCAGAGTACAACTGCACACCTACCGTGCTCCCACGGACACCAGAACAACACTGTCAAGGTTGAGTTTACACCACTCCTCTACATCACGTGCAAAGGTTGCGCTGAACAAAGCTCTTCTCACCATGTGGGATGTGCATGCCAGGAAGATGGAGGCCAGCTGGTCTCGGAACCCCGATTTTCCATCTTCAAACAGTTTGTCTGACTCATCCACCACCAACCACTCCACACTAGGAATAGAGAGGTTTCTGTTTAGTAAGAGTTACTTGTGGAGAAGGCAGAAGTTCTAGCAGACCATCACAGATGCAAGGACTATGCAAGCATCTGCTTTTCAGTGGCAAAGCTAGTAGCAAAGCCAGATTTGATAAAGACTCTTGGTACCTGGTCAAGTCTATCGCTGGAGGATCTTGTTTCAGCAAATAAATGAGCCTGTTTGGAGTAGTAACTAGTATATCTGGTGGGGGGGACAAAAAAAAAAAAAAAAGGCAAAACATTAAAGACACAAAATAGACCAGACTAACAGCACCCTGAGAAACCCAAGTTCCAATCTGATCTGCCAGAGGTACAATTTAACAGGGTCCACTGTCAGGCTCACTTCCTATTTCTCCCACGCCAGCTGCTTTTTTAGTGTTGAGCAATAGATTGCATGTCTTTGAGTGGTATTAACTGATCTCTTTAAAACCACACAAGCCAGAGGAGAAAGGTCAGTGACATTTTTAAAATATTTTAGAAGCACTTCAGCAGTTAAAATGATTACCAAATTTCTTAGAAGACTTGGGCCCAAATTTCTTTGCTGCTTCAGCTGCCTTGTTGATCATATGTATTCTGAAGCCTGTCCCCTCGGCCAACTTCAGCAGTTCCCGATGTGTCTGAAAAGGTAGCAACAAAGATTAAACTTCCGAACTGAGCTGATTAGCTTTTCTAACTGGAAAAGCCGCAGACAATCCTGACGATACAGCTTCAAACACCACCCCGATTTCACTGTTAAGAGAAAGCTGTCTGGTTTTCTTAGCATAATAAAATGCAGCTTTCTAACATGTATTAATTCACTTTAAAGTTCTTACAGGTCTGACTTATCATGTTTTGCCTCTAACAATGTGGCTCCCACAAACCCCCTCTCCTATTTGAATAGAAATGGAACTCTGCCCAAAATTGTAATTTTTACTTCAGTTTAATAACAAAGCTTCAATGTAAAGTTATTTGTTAAAATTCTGTGTTTGGGACAAACAGATAAATCTCTTGCAGCAGTCTCAAATATGATGGTAGGTGTTAGGAGCACCTAAGCACTGGGCAGTTTTAAAATATGATCAAAGAATCTTAAGCCTCTAATCTAATCATCTAGATTAGCTACATGTCTAGCATCTCAATCTATTTTACAAGAGACAAAAGACTTAAAAGAAACGTTTAAGTTAACTTTGTCTGATACCTGAGGGTAATAAAGGAAAAAATATTTACTAAGCTGCTATTTTACTGATTCAGAGTGAAAACTAAGTACATCAATATGACAACAACCCCTCTCCCCTCAACACCCACCTGGCTGGCAAGTTCTCGCGTAGGTGATATGATCAGAGCTCTGAATCCTTTGTTCCTAGGCTGTTTCAGGTGTGCTAAGAGAGGAATACAGAATGCCAGTGTTTTTCCAGACCCAGTAGGAGCTGAAGCTAGAAGTTCCCGACCCTGTAAGAAAAACAAGGGTGTTATGTTTTACCAGGGAAAGAAAAAAACCTCAAAAATCACATTCACGTAAATATTAATGCTACGAACTAACGCAAAATGCATAATGTTGTAATGGCTAAGTTTTGAACTCTGATGCAGCTGATGTATCTCTAAAGCTGTGCAACTAACAGCTAAAGAGAGGTTGCTCCCCAAATTTTGCCAGAGTCCCTGTAACAAAATGCAGCGCCAGAAAACTTACATGAAGCATGACGGGAATAGCTTGCATCTGGATGGGTGTTGGGACCTGGAAGCCAGCAGCTTGAATATTCTCCATGATTTTCGGGTGGATTTTGTATTCCCTTTGAAGTTGATCAAACGTGGCAATTGGGTCAGGAAGATCTGTTCCTTGAATAGTAATCTTGTGTTGGTTTCTGAAGCGGTTTATCTAAAAGGCAAAAGACAAACTCTTTCCTTCTTTCCTTGACAGCATAAACCTAAACATGTACGGATTCATCTTCTGGTTAATTTTCCCATGCTCAGTCTCCCTCCTTCCGAGAGGAGTTACCAGAAATAAACCTCAATTTTCAGATGAAACACCCACAGAAACCAAACAAAATTCTACATTAGCATTCCGTGGTCTCACCTTTTCTCTTCTCAAGCGTTCAAGTTTTTCTGCAGTAGGTTTTTTGTCTTTTACATCTTCGAATTTTGCTTCCAGAGAGGACATCCACTTTATTCCATTACCTTCTGACAACTCTGGCATTGATGCTGCCTCTGGAAGTTTCAAAAAATTGGAATTTCCATTAGTAAAATCTAGTAAATAATGATATGGTAAAAAAAGAACACCTCAAAAACATTTTTCTCTCATTCTCACTGAAGTTAATGAAGTCTCCAGAAAGACGGCAATCACAATCCCATGCCTTAACACCAAATCTTGGCCCAATTATTTTGTCAGCTCTGACACAGGCCAGCCAAAGAACCCAGAAGCTTTTTTTTATTTCCCCCTGGTAAAACAACCTACAGTACCTGCAGATGTAAAGTCAACTGATACAGGTAAGAAGTATGAACTTCACCAGGGCATTCTGCCAGGGACGTACACACACTTATATATAAATACCTCGTTTCTTTTTCTTTTTTTTCATCCTTTCACTGCTCACTGCAGTTCTTTTTCTCTTTCCTGCCATCTCTCCACTGTTTTTCCCTGCTCCATCCTCCTCCTGCTGCTCCTTTAGCTCCTCTTCAGCCCCCGCGAGCCCCCAGCCCTCCTCAGCAGATTCCTGGGGGGCTCTCTCCTTGCACCC